TTCCATCTCGGTGGCAGCTCAGGTGTTTGCTGAAGGCAACAATAGCAGCAAATGAAAGTGCCACTCTAACCTCCCCAATCACCTCTCGTGGTGGTGCTGCTCATTTAAGGGGAAAAACACAAAACAACAACAAAAAGATTAACATTTCAACGCTACAGAAATTTAATATATAGAGGAAAAACTTGCCAGAAGACACAAGATGCAGAATTTTTTGTCAATGTATAGTGTTCAATAAGATGTTGAACAAAAGGAAAAGTTCAAAAATGGAGATTTGGGATTCAACCTAGAGATCAACAAGAAATCTCATGTCGAGACCTGAAGTCACCTGAGGAGTTCTCTCGGCAATATGTCATTGTGAATGGTCTCCTGTATATTTATTGCTATGTGGGGTTCTCAGTAAATACATAGGGGTCCAATACTTCACTTTGCAACATTGCTTTGAACCCCATTTACTGTGCACATCAACCCAAATATGCTGACCGGCACAGATCTTCTGTGACCTGATGAGAGGGAAGTGAAAATAGAAAAAAAAAGTTTGCCAAAAGCCTTAAAAACAACAATTACTTAACTATACCTTATGCGCAGTTTCTGTCTCAAAATAACATTTCAACAGAACACCATCCTTCAGAGCAACCTTGATTGATCTTAGCAGTTGTTGACAGCATTTAAGCCACAAGTGTTACTGCAAAATCTATATATAAACTAATAGAATCGGTGACAGGTTATTAAATATAGTTTACTCTATCTCAATGATGCATCCAAATCATATCAAAGACACCCAGAGAAAGTTTATCTTCATCTGGTTATTCTTCTAACTCGGTTTTCATAATATATTCTCCTTTGTCTGAACAGTCAAAATTTTCTTCAGAAGCAGAATATGAAAATAATCTGAAACCATCAGAGGAAATGCAGACATATTTATGAGATCCAACTAAAGAAATCATTGTCACTTTGTTTTTATTTGCGCAGATGGAATGTGAAACAGTATTTCCTTATTGGAGAGGAAGTCGAGTGTGTCATTTCACTGTCAGTAATTTCTGCTGAGTGCTGCGCTGAGAGGCGAACTGTTACATTTAGCCTGTGGACAAATATGCATACAACATTTGTTTGATTTTTTTCTCCTTTTTTTTCAATTTGGCTTCACTGAAGAAAAAAATAACTTCATAGAAACGAAGCGGCCATGATGGCTGTTTACTCAGATGGTGAATTGGTTGCTAACCTTTCACTGAACCCTTATTCATTTTTTCATTTTATTTGTTTGTGTTGTGTTCAGCTTCTACGGAGGCTGGAAAGTGCACGGCGTTGAAATAATAATTTGCTTTGGAAATCAATTTCTTCAATTTAAGAAATGATGTGTTCATATTCACTAATAGACTGGCAGATAATAAACAGCTCACACCCACAGTGCATAACTTCTCAATAAGTGCCTGTTTAGTCACAAATTTCACCTGCTCTCAACAGAAAAGTAAAAACAAAACACTTCAATTATACATGATGGAAACAGACTTCTAAGTAATCAGAACTGTTTATAAAGAAACCTGTAGATGAAATTCAGAAGATTATGCAAAACATTCATGTTTCTAATTTATTGGTGGGAACAAAACAAATGAAAGAGATTATGTTTATGACAATAAAATGTATTTTAAAAATGGTAGAAGTCTCTGATCTCTTGTATATTATCTGACAGATATCTTTGTTGCAAATCAACTTGATTTTCTGAAATGTCTTAAAATCCCTTCTTTTAACTCCCTCGTCAAGCTCCTTTTCAATGTGACTTTTGATAAATATTGCTATCATGTGCTCACAACAAATGTTATCTTGAGTCACTGACAAATCATTTCAATTCAATCGTACATACATTCCAATTGATCCTAATTATCAAACAGAACAGGAAGCTCAATTATTCAAAGTAGTGAAAGGTTTCTATCAAACTGTTGTCCTTAATGAAAGTCAGATTTTTCTTGGTAACCCCGCCAAAGTGCAGTAATCATACTTTTTTTAATCAATTAGCAATGCTCCCTAATTAATAAGTCATCAATAAAATAAATTACAAAATCTGTTTTCATGATGATTTTTAATCTGCTTTATTTTATTTTTCGTACTTAGTGTGTATTTACTTTTATAGAGTACATTTGTAACCAGTTTTTGTTAAAACACTTCTGTTGTACTTCTTCAAAAAAAAGAATGACTTGGCATAAAAGCTAAAGGTTTATTATACAACAGCTTTCCTGTGGATTTATTTAACATGTGAAAGCAATGCTGTTCACATCGAAGCACTTTATTGGAATAGAAACATGTAGCCAGGCAGCAGCGAGCAGAGGGTTTCTAGTGATTGTTGACATCTGTTACATATCCATGCTGTTCCTGAGGTCGGGCTGCAGATGACTTGCAGGGATGAACAGCAGAGCGCTGAGTGGATGACTCATCTGGTGGAGTGATAAGACATCCCTCTGATTTCTCATTAACCGCCACCAGCCCCATCGGCTGACTCTACACTAGTCTTATTTTGACCAAATCCCCGCAGCGTATGTTAAGGTCATTGCAGAGGCGAGAAATCCTGACACTCTCTTTTCTGAAAAGCTGATGGTAATGTGTAATATTGATATAAATTTGTTCTGAGCGCAGATTAAATTTCTCGCACATGCTGTGGTTTGAACTGTAGCCCTTAAAGCCAAAATGCAGCTGCTGTGTTGGGCCTTTTCTGTGTATTATGACTCAACATTTTGCACCATTATGCAGAAATAAACTAGATAAAACACACTGCAGAGGTAAAATCTTTACCAGAGCCTACAACTAACTTACAACGCCACATAGATGCTTCTAATCAGAACTACTGATGAGAAATGAACACTATGACCACATTACACCAATACTGGCTGCACTTACTTCCCGCTGATTGCAGTATTCAAATCTATCATCAACAGCTGCATGAAAGTTTTTCACCAAAATACCTCAGTTTGAATGTCAAAATGTATTGAGTTGTTGCCATATGAGTGATTAATTTCCTGTTTTTGTAAACAAGTAGCTGTACAGGTGTACCTAATAAATAAGCTAGTGTGTTGCCACTTTATCTTTTTAATATTAGAACTAGAATTGTGAAAGAAATATTGCAAAACAACAGAAAATTCTAGCATTAAAGGCCAAAATGATTTCATGCTGATTCTCTTTAAACCACCAATAAATCAAACTGATCGTTCATCCCAAGCCGCAACAAACGCCGTCATCGGACAAAAGAGAAATGAATTTCTCACCTTACCTTTATCAAAGAATGGGCCTCTGTGCACTCAGTGTTTATGAATAAATTATAGTTAGAATCGGGGTTTTTACTGATTTTTTATTTTTTTATTTTTTTATTTTTATAGTGGTTCATAATAAAACTGGCAAATTCAGCAGTTGTAAAAACATGAAGTGGAATCTTAAGCTCTTTTTGAAATGCCAACCATCACAGATTAAAATCCTCTTAACATGTTAAATCACCTCCAGAACTCGCATTTAGAAAGAAGTTCAGCAGTTCTGCATTTCAAAGGTCCTTTTAGTTGCAGGAATAATCACTCTGAAAGCATTTTCTGGTCTCAGTGGTAAGACTGACAAAAAAATAATGCTATTAATGTACAGTTGGGATATAATGGAAATATGGATTTCTGTCACAACAAATGTTTAACAAGAAAAAGAATGATAACTTTATGATAAAAGATTTTTACACATGCAAGGAACATCGCTGACCTGGCAATAGCTCCATTTCCATTATAAATGAATGCAAAACTTTATAGATATTCCGCTAATGTTGAAAAAAACAATTTTGATTTTGCAATTGTAGTGGGTCTGTTAATAAGTGACACAGTGGAAATCACACTTGAATGAGTTTGTTCACGTAATAAGTCATTAGTTTGTCTTTTTCATCTTTTCCTCCAGCAGTAACATTCGGTTGTTGATCACACGACTCGTGTGATGTGAAAAAGAGTTTCCACTGCAAAGGGGCACATAAATCCCTGTAAAGTACATTCAAATTTATGTTTGCAAGGAAATAACTGCAAAATTGTTATTAAACATTTCCGGTCTAATTGTTGCCACAAAAGCAACCAGCAAAATTTTCCTCCACCTGAGATGGTCAAACATTTGGAGACTAAAACCTTCTGGAAACATGTTGTCACTCTAAAGAACTCCCTCTGCAGCCCTGCAGAGTCTTTCACTTCACCCAGTTGGTTCCTACCCCATTATGGTTATTCTATGGTTGACCTTTACATCCTCACCTCGGCTGGAGTCTTATTGATTTGCTCCTAAAGGGAAAGTTAAACCTGTTTTGAGTTTGCTCCCTTATTCCCCACAGAGTTTCTGGGAGCCATCCAGGGTCTTTGTGCACAGGATTTCCTGCCCTAGCCTCTCAGATCCATAAGTAGCACATAATGTGCCGGTGACTATATTCTCCAAATGATCAAATTAGCTGCTACATACAACAGTAACATGCATATTACTGTTCTGAGAGGAAAAGACTGCCTTCCATTGACCTTTCTTTGCTGCCTTTTCATTGACCACATAATTACACAAAATGGAATTCCGAAAATAAATTTGCTTAATCGAAGTGCAAAAAACTTTTTTTTTGACAAAAAGTTTTTTTGCCCTAGGATGAGGTGGTTTTTCGACTGTATCGAAATTTGTGTATTTTGCAACAGAAACACTTTTTTTGCATCACACAAGTCATGTGATCAACAACCAGATGTTACTACTGGCGGAAACAACAAACAAGACGACAGGAAGTGGTAGCAGGAGGATGGTGTGGCATGTTAATGACATATCAACTCAACAAACATGTTCATGTCATTTGAATCACATTTTTTTATTTAATGGAAACACCTCAATTGTGAAATTGTGTTTTTGTTTTGTTTTGTTTTTTTTTTACTTTAGTGGAATATCAACAAAGTTTTACACACATTTGTAATTGAAACAGAGCTACTGTCTTCCTTTTTCCTTTATGTGGGATATAAATATGCAGAAATTCCTCAACAGCTTTCTGTTCTACCTCCATAGGGGCTCAAACCGATGGACCACAATGGACTCTCGGATCCTTATGTCAAACTGCACCTACTGCCTGGAGCCAGCAAGGTGAGTGGCATCACTGCTATTGACTGTATGTCGTCTATCATCCCAGTTCAAAACAATCAGTGTTTGTTTTGAGAAACTTTGTGTTAAAGATGGATGCTTAGCAATCAGTGAGAGGTTCTTCTTTGTGTTCAGTCCGTTTTTGTTGTTCGGGGTGAAACACGTTCTGTTTGATTCTGATTGGCTGAGTAAGCTTGGTATATGTCTCCTTAACCGTTACCAGTATATACTAACCCTAACCTACGCCATCATCAACCTGAACTTGTTTCACACAAAACCTCTAAATCCCTTGACCTAAAAACAAGGTTCACTGTTATGACCAGGTTCTCCTTCGTAAATGACCCGACGGTCCTCATAAGGTTAGTAAATATGCAGTCCCAGAAAAGGTCCTAAATAGGTCACAAAAATTAGTATACACACTCTATAATACACAGATGAAGCTGGACGGATGGACGGATAGATGGATGGATGAACAGGGAGAAAATGTCTTGGACATTCTAACTTCAAAAGTTGAAACTAAAGAAAAGATTTAACTTTTAACAGAAACCATTAAAAATTCTCTAATATAAACTTTGTTTCTCCTGCCAGAAAAATTGTGAAACTGACTAAATCTGCTTGTGTAGACATAAAGAGTCGAGATGACTCAGTGGTTGTTTTATTAGGGACAGCGAATTGTCTCACTTTTATTGCACCAGACAGCAGTCTTTGACGATTCTGTTAATCCTGGCACAAAAGAACCTGAAAATGATTAAAATCCACAAAGCAGCTTATTGAAAGCCAAAGATGTCTGATTATCCGTCTACCTGGCTCACATCTCTTCCTCTCAAGCTTTTCTACATCCCGCCATTGATTTGAGCTTTGCAGTTATATGTATCATGTGTAGAAAGCCAAATAACTACATGCGTAAGATCCTTATTCCTTATTGATGGGTTTCTATCCCACAAATATTACTGAATATTTTCAGCACATGGTGCAGTAATCTTAAAAAATCATTATCAATAAGCATATATTTACAGGCATTCCTATAGATTACAAAATATATTTTTCTGAATAAAAATCTCTTCTTCAGGAAAAATGCTCTTCTTTTGCTTTCAGTAGATGTGTCATACATGTATCTGTAAGCAACTATAACTGTTTTAATATTCAGCCTTTTAAGAAGTGAAAATCACAAAGTGTGTCACAACAAATCAATACAACAACCAGTTGAGACACAAACTGCATTACTTTGTTTTCAACCTAAAATGTATTTATGAAGGGGATGCTTTTGGGCAAAGGTAAAAACCTCATGTTCAGTTATTCAGTCTTTGTCTTTCATCCTGAAATTTTCAAGTTGCAATCTTCAGTTCTGTCACCAGAATGGTGACTGACATAGAAATTGTTGAATGCTCCAAAGGTCTTATTTTCTGTCTTTGATCAGTTTCTCAGGGATGAACGTGGATGCTTCTCCACTGATTACCCCACCATTTTGTCTTATCTGCCCTCATAATGACGATGAATAAAATCCTCAAAATGAAGTAGCATAATTTCACATTGAAAACATAAAATTTGTCAGCAGGTCTGATGCTGTGCCATCACAAACATAATCATGTGGGACTTTAAGTGGAACGGTGAAGTAAAGATTCCAAGTGGGTCTAGTGTAATAAAGCAAAGCATTGTGGGACTGTTGGATATGGCAGAGGATATGTGATGCTGTGGGGCCTGTTTTTCTACCAAGTTCCCTAGAAAACTAAGGTCTTGACATCTTTACATTCGTGCTGATTGTGCAGGAGTCTCTACTAATGCTTTTCAAGGATGTACAATTATTTAATTGTACATCTGTTTGCAGCCATTTTCACTTGTCAGTGTAAATGTTGAGTTGGGGGGCGTGGCCAGCAGCAGCTGATTTGGATTTAAAGTGACAGGAGGCCCTAAAACAGCCCATTCTGAAACTGAGCAGACTAAAATGTCATTATCTAGAAATTATATTGTGTAGATAATGTAATGAACATGTTTATGGTATAATTCATAGAGCTATCCTAACCTGTTCAAGGAAGCATAATAGGTCATGTTTAAAGTCAAATTTTCTGGCTGTGTACCACAGGTTTCAGCTGCAAACAAAGATAGAGGAACACTTTAAATAAGCAGAGACTGTTAGTTCTCTGCAAGCAGAGGGAAACACTCATCATGTCTGTCACCCTTTATTGTTGCCTACAGGAGTTTGTGTCACTGTGAGTTTTCCAGGCAGCATTCTGCTCAAAAGCAGCAAGAAGAACATAGTGTTTTTGTTGGCACATCTAATTTAAATAAACCCTGGGTTGCTCCATGTGTCCTGACACTGACGGGGGGCTTTGAGGTGTCACAGCTCATTTTCCAGAAGTGCACAAATGTAATAATTAGCAAGGGTGCAAAGATAGACGGGAAAATCAGGAATAATCTATTCAAAAAGAGTGTTTCAATGAAGCTATAGTGCAATTATTCCTCTACCAACAAGTCTGTCTTCTGTTGCTTTAAGTCAAACAGATCCTCTGATTTAATCTCTTGAGGTTAAGGCGGAAATCTGCCAACTGTATACATCATCTGTGATGATCTCCCTTCTTACGGGAAGGATTTCTGAGCTACAAGAGAGCAGATTGCTGTGTTTATTCACCACACATTTTAACAACTTCATCCTTCCAAAGAGAAAATTTATTTTTCTGTAGAAATGCAACAATTTACCTGAGAAAAGCCCTGACCAGACTCATCTCTCCACTTTACAGCTCTGCATTCAACAGTTTGCATTGGACTTTGTGATTAAAGGCTTGGACTCTATAGAGAGCAAAGAGTGCCAAATGTCAATAATTTGTGAAATAATTATTTACATGCTATTCATTGTTTAAAACTGGAAATAAATACAAAAATAATAGATTAAATATTGAATTAATTATATTTGAATATAATTAAATATAGTGATTTCATGTTAAGAAATTTATTTTACATTCTTGCACTGAAACAAATCATGATTGTCAGCACACATTAGTAAATCTACCACAAATCCAGTGGTTTTCAAAGTGGAAGCCACCAGGGGGCTTCCACTTTGGAGGGTTCAGCAAGTTGAAGGGAAATAAGAAAAACAATGCAAAAATGTTAAAAATTTGACTAATATACTTTTTAATCATAAAATCAAACTGATTTTTCAAAGATTATTTCTCATTTGCACTTTTATCAAGATGCTTTGGACTTCAACCCAGCATAGCAAAAGCAAAATGGAAAAGTTTCTGACAAGAACAGACCGTAGCTGTTTAAAACGAGAAAGTACGAGGCAGCTGTTATGCTAATCAAATGTAATAATTATGGAGTAATGGATAAAAATTAGAAAAAAACATTCTCTCCAGATTTTTAAGATTTTCAAAGGGGGTTCCTTTGCCAGAAGCTAACACTGCTTGTGGAACCCTACTCTAATCATTCCATCCTAAAAAAAACAACAAAAAAAAACAGTTTACGTTAATAACTGGACCTGAAAAATGAAATATGCATTACATATTTGGCTTTCCATACACCCAGTTCTTTGATAACATATTGTGTTGTTAAAGGCAGTAATTGATCCTCAGTCCTCTTGTTAGATTCTTCTGAATGAGGCTCAGTTTCTGGAAACATGCTGCCGTTTTACGTCAAGCAGCTTTCTAATAGCAATTTCATGTCCTTTTAGACTCATAGCAGCTGTAATCATTCAAACCAGAAATGCACAGTTAGAATGAGTCAAAGGTTAGGTTGAAACAAACAGTAATTATCCTCTATGAGCCACCACCACTCAGCCAAACACTGACTTAATATTGCATCTACTTTCTGGAAGCGCTGCATTCTGCATGTATGAAGAGAAAAATGAGAGGATCCTTTAGAAACGTCCTTGCTCTTACAAATGCACTAATAGTTTCTGCCATTTGCTGAAATGCTGAAGGTCAAGATGTACAGTTTTAGTCTGGCTCTCTGCTGCTGCTCTCCTTTCCTTTCCCCGCTGATAAAGTGGTGCATCTTCTGTGAGGCGGTGTCATGGCAACAGTGTCAGCACCCACAGCTTGGAAATTAACTTCCCAAGCTCGTATTAATGCTCCTTTTTACAGTTTCTGACATGAAAGCAATTATTTTTAGGGTCTTGATAGTTTGAAGGACAGGTGTTTTTATGTTCTCTCTCGTTTGTTTTAATTTATTCTGGGGTGTTTCCGGGTATTTCTCTGTGTTCTGGTGGGTGTCACCACTAATGCCAACCACGCTCCTTTCAGCTTAACTCGAATAAATTTGAGTTGTCATGGATTCTTGGACCAGTAAGTCGAATAAACCTCTCCATGACGGCCTGTTGCCACTTGGATTTGTCTCCTGTCTCAGTATGAGGCCTCACGGGGGCCTTTGCACATTCTGCTGGCAAAACACGATGCCGTCTCCTTCCTGTCAACGTTCCCTCAAAATAGTCATTAGACTCGGTCGAAGAGCCTCATTAATGGCCAGATGAAGAGGTCATAAGTTCTGTTTGCGTCCTAATGAGAAGTGACGTTTCACGCTCTGCTGCGAAGTCAGATCACAGCTTCATCACTTCGGAAACCACAATCAAACACATTGAAATGCTTGGAATTATTCCAGATTAGGCTGCACTGACAGGTAACATTAAAGTTAGTGGTGGGACTGGATTAAAGTTTTTAATTGAGTTAATTGCATGGTCTGTAATTAATTAATCATATTTTAACCAAAAGCTACCAACAAAATAAGCAACATTTTCAATTTCAAAATTACCTTCGCTGCTAAATTATTGAATAACTAGACATATGAGCTCAACATCAAACATATTGTTTTCTGTTTATCTTTTATTTAGGTTATTAAGTCATCAGATTGGTGTAAAATGTTATTATACCTATTCAGCTTTGAAGTGTTGATCATTCATGGAGCTTATTTGAACAAATCCCTATTTAGAAATGTAGACGGTGGACTTTAGCATTGTTGATGTCTGCGCTGCTCCATGTTTAACGTTTAGATGCTGTTTCAGGCTATTGCAGGCTGGCTTCACTTTTCATGCTTTGTTGTCCATCGCTGTTTGTAAATGTTGCTTGAATGTCTGATTTACGGTGTACCAGAAAACTGAATGACCAAGGTTCCAGCTGGAACTTTTGAATGTAACAAAAATACAAGTAATTGCGTTAAAATTTTTATTGCATTGAAGTCTTTGTAATTAATTAATCAAAATGAAAATCTTAAAGTTCTGACCTCAGCTAAAATACAAATTTAGCGAGGGCTCAAAAACCTTGATTTTTAGTGAAATCTCAGCTTTCAGCAACTATTCAAATAATGTCATGTGGAAACCTTTTTTTATAAGTGCAAATGTGCATTTATTCATCTAGATGGGATCTGCATTTAGTAATAGGTACTGAATCCGTTCATAACTGTGGTGAACTGTCGGCTCGTGCATGGCGAGTGCAAGTCAGAGGTCCTACTCAGATGTTTTTTTTTTCTTTGATCAATTTAATTGCCTTCATAATGTATTTTGAGCACAAAATTGAAAATGTCTGCACCTCTGCAACAGATGGTCAAGGGTGTGAATTATGATTTGTCTAAATGACGGATGGCCTTCAGATATTTCCATCCTCGTTTAAAAACAAATAAAGATGGAAAATATTTGCAACCATTGACATACTACCAAACAAGTCAAGTTTTTATTTATTCTTATTTATAAAAAATATCCTCTCACTACACAATTATGCTCAACTTTGTTTTAGTCTCATAATAAATCCCATTAAAATGTGGATTTGAATGGCCTTGAATACTTTTACTAGGTCATGTGTAGTGCAGTTTCCTGGCTTGTAGAGCTCACTCTTTAAAACAGTAATACCCAATAAAAGCCAGTATTGTCATAAAAAACTAAAAAAAAAAAAAACAACAAAAAAACAAAAAGCCAAGGAGCAGACTGGCACTATGTTTTTTCTACTTATAGGTTGGGATTCCAACAAATGAGACCATATTAACAGCACCCATGCAAACATAATTATATCAAGCCCAGGGTTTATTGGATTTAAATGAAAGTTGCTTTCAGGAGCCATTATGGTGTTTAAAAGTATCTGATTGTGTATTTGTGTTGCTCCTCAGTCGTCCAGGAGGATCTCTCCTTAAAGTGCACCTGCACATCAGACCTCCCACACGTCTCTTTTTAGCTTCACCACTGCAGCGCCCGTCTCAGATGCAAAGGGCTTTTAAAATTACAGTTAGTTAGAGCAGCGATCTCAAAGTCAAAGGGAAAGTAGTGTAGTAATTGGCTAGAGAGCAGCGCCTTTTTAGCCTCCACTGCTGGAGCGATTATGACACCAGTTGTTCATTTCCAGTATGACCCTTCGCATTTTACATTCCGGTGGAGGACCAAAACTGGCTTCTTGCTCCAGATATGAATTCATTTTTTATTTAACACCTTGCTGTCTTTCCGTGTTGATTGTGTTAAAGCTCTGAACCATCAATAACTTCTTTATTTGTTGTGCAAATTGAAGGAACAAGACTTAGATATTTCCCTGCTGTAAAATACTTGATTTGGCTGATTGCAGTTCAGCCAACACCTGTTAATTGAAATCACCTGGGCTGAAGCAAGGAAACCTAAAACACACAGAGCATTGTGCTTTTAGGACCAAGGTTGGGCTTTACATCAACACATCCAGACAATGAGCAGGAAAAATTACATTTTCTCAAATGTCTTCATCAAATTTATTAACAATCATATTTGAATACAAACTAAGATTAATCATTATTCCAATATTCCAGTTTCATACAATTGATTTCAGTGTAAACTAACTGTTTTTAATTGGAGTGAATCACAGACAACATCACAGGCTTTTCAATTAATCACTATAAAATAAAATTATATATATATATAAAATAAAAATAAAAAAAATATATATATATATATATATATATATATATATATATATATATATATATATATATATATATATATAAAACTTCACAACAGCCTTTTAGTTTGATTATAAAAGAAAAATGTTGTCTACATATAATAGCATTAATTTCATTCAGGTCAATTCCATTGGCTTTTCATTTTGGACTTTGCCTGTATTTTTGGAAGATAATCCATTCCCCCATTAGTTTTGAACACAGGCATTAATACTTTTGCAAGGCAGCAGTGAGATTATATTTGCATGCACGTTGCAAGACGTCACGCAAGGACCCTGTGGAACATTTTCCTGGAAGTTAAAAAAAGAAATATTGGCAGCATTTCAATGACTCTGGGGATGAGCTCTCCTTAGCTGTCAGGCAAACCAGTATTCAATCATGAGCATTAAGTGGAGGATGTGATTTGTGTTTCAGGCGAATAAACTCAGAACCAAGACCCTGCACAACACACTCAACCCCGTCTGGAACGAGACCCTGACCTACTACGGCATCACCGACGAGGATATGGTCCGCAAAACCCTCAGGTACACTCAGCGTCAAAATGACAATGGTGATAAATATCAAAGAAAAGGCAAAAGTACTGAATTATTTGCAAAAACAAGAAAACAGATGGAGCTAGTGGGGAAAAATATGGAAGTTGAGAAGAGAAGTAAGGGTTTAGAAATGATCAGAAATTGCAGTAAGGAAGGAGGAAAATTCAAGTAAATCACAAGAATTAAATTAGGAAGGAAGAGACGAGAATGAAGAAAAGAGACTGAAAGGAAAGAATCAGATTAAACCAAGTCAGAAGGAAGAGATGTAAAGTGGCATAATTAAAGAAAATCACAGGAACTGGGGAGATAATAAAAAAGCATAAATGCAGGAAATCTAAGAAGAACCACGGTTTTAAAAAGTAAAAAAAAAGAGTTAAAGAAAACAGATGGAGACAGGAAAGCCTAGAATAATTTTTTTTTATGTTTCTTCTAAAGATGTTCTTCTTGCCCCTGAGGATAAATAACAGTTTTACAGTGTTTACTTAATGGCTACTTGTTAGGTCCATAAATGGACAAAGTTCCTGTTTACCCAGTTGGTTTCTGCAAGATCCAAACCAAAATAAGCAGAATTTTTGTACTTTCATACTCAAGTGGGAGGCTTACATGTTTTTTAGTATTATTATTATTATTATCATTGTCTTTCTTTTCAGTAACGACACATAAGGAAAGACTTGAAGCCAAAAACATGTAACTCCCTGTGAAAATTATGACACATTTATGTAATTTAAGTGTTATTTCACCTCCACTGGCTCCCTTCTTTGCACCAAAGTGTTAACAGCGTGCAGTCGAGTGGTGGAGGAAGGTTATGCAACCATATGCAGAGTTTTTGTTTTAGACGGAGCGAGTACAGATAAGTATGTTGGTAGTTTGCCTAAATATATCTCTTCTGTTGGACACATAAAATCCTGCGATATTCTGACCAGAGTTGGGTCACATAGTGAGACAAACATGCAGCTAATACTTACAAAATGAAAATGAAAACTGCTATCCCCATAAAGCAGGTTAACTCACATCGCTTCACTAGTTAAAGACCAGTTTCCCTACCTTCACAATTCTCCAAAATGATGGAAAATTTATTTATTGTCACGCAGTATAGCGAAAAAACATCTTAACGGAGAATCAGATCCACATCTACGGCAGTAATGGAGTGAATGGAAAATTTAATGGAAAGTAAAAGTATAAAATATGTAGTGGGGCTTGAAAAATGCCTTTCATTGAATAAATCATAAAATAAATCGAATAAAATAGGAAGTAAAAACATCTGTATGCTTAAATATTACATGTGGCGTCCCACAGGGTTCAGTACTGAGCTCCAAGCTTTTAATGACACATAGAGTGAAGAGTATGCAGTTTTTGCAGATGATGCAACCATGTTTTGTCCTGGGCAAGCTTTAAAGCAGCTCTTGGAAGTTGTCAGAAAAGGAATCAATAAGCTTATATATTGATTTGACGAAAATAAATTATAAAAAAATGTAATATCCATGAATTTATTTGCTCATGATTGATTTGAAACAAGAAGTAAAAACACAAAATATCCAGAAGTGTGGACATGCCCACACATATACATATATATCAGGGTTACAACTACCAATTAAATCCAACTTCTTTACACCCTTGTCCCTTGGTGGGGTCGGGAGGGGTGCTGGTGCCTCTCTCCAGCTAACGTTCCGGGCGAGAGGCGGGGTCACCCTGGACAGGTTGCCAGTCTGTCGCAAGGCAACACAGAGACACACAGGACAAACAACCATGCACACACACACTCACACCTAGGGGCAATTTGGAGAGGCCAATTAACCTGACAGTCATGTTTTTGGACTGTGGGAGGAAACTGGAGTACCCAGAGAGAACCCACGCATGCAAAGGGAGAACATGCAAACTCCATGCAGAAAGACCCCAGGCCGGGAATCGAACCCAGAACCTTCTTGCTGCAAGGCAACAGCTCTTGGCTCTACCAACTGCGCCACTGTGCAGCCCTAATTAGTCATTAATACATATTTATTTATGTCTATTTTGTTCCATCTGAAGAAGTTGGTATTTGGTCAGACAGAGACAGGCTGTTGCATTTGGGCAGCCGATGCAGTTTCTGACCCTCAGTGATTGACTGTCACTCTTATCGGCGCCCTGCAAACACATTAGTGTGGCTTACTGGCAATTTTATGTCGCACAGCATCAGAATCAGCTGAAATGTTGTCGCTCCGAATCACAACAGAGATCTGAAGCATCAGCATGCGTGAGGCGTGATCTGGTCAGCCATTCCAGTGGACTGCACTCCACATTCCCAAATAACACAACTCATTTATTCCTGCAAATTGAAACATGATTTCAACACGACCCCTTCCCGCTATTATCAGTACTATTATTGATATTGAATGTCTGATTGCACAACATCCAACGCAACCTGTGGCCCTATTACATTATGCCATGGGGCATACAAAGGCAGCATGTTTTTTTCTTTATACGGCTGCTCATTATGCAGAGAAAAGCACTTGAAACAAACAGTATTCATCTACACGAGCCTGAGTGTGAACCATGCCATGTCAGGGCAGAGAGCGCTTACACAGGGACCGCTCTCTGCATTTACTGGAGGCACACTGTAGGTCTGCTGAGAGCTCCGATTATTGGCTTCCATCATAACTTTAATGAAATGCTAAAAAGGAATATAGATCCCAGGCTGAAAAGTGAAATCAGAAGCTCACTGTTCATCTTTTACCGCTGAGTGATTTCTACCTGAATTCAAACTTTCATAGTTTTAGCAACCAGTCTCTGATTGTGTTGTGTTGATCAGTAGTTCTTTAGGATAAAGTTCTTTTCACTCATTTTCTCTTCAGTTCTTAGAACATACTAACCAATAGTTTCAATAGCTTGTTGAGACAAATGGCGAGTCAGCTGATCAAGTCGGTGCATTTAGGGTTCTGGACGTGGTGAAGAAGTTCAAACTCAGAATCAGACATTTTAGATTGGATTTAAGAGACTTAGAATGTGACTTTGTTGGTGCCCGATGTGCTGGTCAGAGAAGATCTCAGAGCATTTTGCTACGTTCAGCTAAGAGCAGGAAACAGAAGTTACAATTCAATTTGTTAAGACTCTAAAATGTAAATATTAACAGATTTAAGAAAAAAAAGAAATGTTCTGCTCCAGTGATTCTCAGTTTCAGCATTCTTAGGCACACTTCTGCTAATGTGCTAATAGAGCAACTTTTTTGTTTATCACTTTAGCACTTTTTTTTGCTAACTTTGAAATCTCACTTAGCTTCCCCTTCAATTAACTTTTCCTTTTAAATTCACTTGGCTGTTTGTGAACAAAGTTCAACATCTGTGTTGAAATTTTTGGTTATTGTTAGACGTTTACATTCATGCTCTTACTTTGAAGTCTGTTCGTGCAGCAGTTCCATTTCCTCTTCTCATATTCTCTTTTTTTAATAAACTTTGAGGAAGTGGCAACAAAGGAACCAATGAGATGCACAAAAAATACAACATGAACATTCAAACATGGCTTTTAATTAAGCAAATACATACAAAAATTGACATGTATGAATTATTCTGAGTCTTTTTCTTGATACTCTTCACATTCTCCATCCGTAATTTGATGCAGAAACTGACATTTGTGATCTGCATGATTTCTGACTGAAGTCATACCTTTGTCATTTAGACAAAATTAGCAACTGATCAGCAAACTGCTGATCAGTTTGCAAACTCAACAATTTTAAGATTTTATGCCTCCTAAACCAACATCTCAAACCAATGTCTATCAGTTTCTTATTTTCATAGAATATCAAGATAAATATTCATAAAATGATAAAATCTTGCGTATATTCATACTTAATTGCATAATATTTGTTCTGACAATAATGTTTAGTTCTATTATTCTATTTCTTTTGATGCAGTTTAAGCTTTATGGGAGATTAAGCTCCCTTATCAAGCAAGTTGACCCCCTGCTGGTAGATTAGTGTTGGAACCTGATTTCTATCTAACTAATAAATGTTTTTTAAGTATACAGTCATGTATTAAAGATTAGTATTGTGTTTATTTCTAAAGTGTCTCAAAATACAAATCTGTTAAGTTGAATGTCTCACAGACTGATTTAATTCAGTCTGTGCTTTTGTGTGAAGGACAAAAGCACAGAAAGAGATGAATAATTGATTTGATCTTAAATGTTTACATAATCAGGAAGATTTTTCAATCCCAATAAAACAACTTCTCATCAAAAAATCTATCAGTGAGTCTTATTCCACAATTTACACATATAATTATCCCATCATTTTCTGTCACCCTGATTGGGTCTGACAAAGCACTTCTTGGCAGATTCACTGCAACACAACTGTGTTTCAGCTGGAATCCGGAATAATCTCTTTAAATGAAGCTGCAAAGCATTAATATGAGCTTCACTGTATTCACCTTTTCCTCAATATTTTCTGATCTCTCAGGATCTCAGTGTGTGATGAGGACAAATTTCGCCACAATGAGTTTATCGGGGAAACGCGGATTCCCCTCAAGAAGCTGAAGCCCAACCAAGTCAAAAACTTCAACAACTGCCTGGAGAAACAGTTGCCAGTAAGTGTACAACCCAACTCTTGTATATGGTACTGGGGGGAAATAAAACATGTCACATATTGTTTTAAAAATCAAGAGTTTTAAAGGGGACCATTTATGCAAAATTCATATTTTTCACATTGTTGTACTTCCATTTGGGTCTGATAATGTTTTTTGGTGTCTGCAAAAGTTTCAAAATCCTCTGGAACGTTAAGTTACCAAGCAACCTCAGTCAAGCCTGGCCTGTTACCTAGCAACCCAAGTGGAACTCCTGCGCCCAGGCATTTGGTTTTACCACTGTATTCACTGTACAATGGCTGCTGGAAAAGATGTGTTTTGTTGTTGATTTGCCTCCAAAAATCACTTATTGCATTCTTGTTGGTTGTGCAGGAAAAGTTTCAATAAACTTATTGAAACGACACAATGAATGTGTGCTGTAATCAAATCTAAAGGCGGTCCAGCGAAATAAGTGTGTGACTTTGCTGGCAACTTTCTTTTTTTGTTGTTGTTTTTTTTTTTGGCCAGGGAGAGTTCAGTTCAATTTAGTTGAACATGCCTGTTATGGTTGTTTTGCAGTGCTGGGCTCAGTGGGCCGTTCTTTAGACATAGATGATCCAGAATTACACCGCATTAATTACAAACCGTGTGGGCAGTTTCACAAGGGTATTCAATCACAGTTCAATGACACTCCACTCCACTCTGGTGCTCTCACAACACATAATCCACTCCTGCACCCCACTTATTGGCTCACTACCTGGTGCTTTAATCTGCTGTGGTTTAAATTAGGTTCTGGTGGGATACAGAGCGCCTCCATTTCTCTTTCCACTAACCAGCCTTCTTCAAACTACAACTGGATTCTGAAAATGAGTCCAATTGGTTAGGAGTGTGCATAACAACATTAATTTATCATCCTTCTAAAATATTTTTTGTTTTCCAGCTGAAGGGACAAAATGTCCCCATGTGGACCAGTTTTGAAATGGTCTGACTTTAACAACATAAAAACCTGGCATTATAACAATGATCAGTGGTACAACGGCATTTTAGATAGAAAAAAAGAAGTGTACAATTATACCTGGAAATTCTGAAATTTTGAGAATAATCTCAGGATTTTTTGAGAAAAAAATTTTCAACCTTAGAAACTCTTTTCTAGCAAATTTGACTTTTGGAACTCAGAAATTTCCAAGTTTCTTTCAACAAAATTTCTGAGATTAATCTAAGAATTTCTGAGTATTTTCTATGAGTTTTCTATGAGCATAAAAATAAATCTTTGACTTTTGAAACTCATTTTCTTCTTTTGTTTTTTTATTGGAAAATTTCTTAAATGTTTTTGATGGAAATTTACTCCTTTTTTCTGTCTAAAATGGCCTTGACACACCGTTGTAGTGGTAAACGATGCATAAAACGATGAAAAAAGTCTGAATTTACACTTTCCTCTAGCAAGCTGCTTAGCAGTGATGTTTTCTGAAAACTTAACCCCCAAAATCAATGAGGAGAACTGCAGTGATCGAAGCGTCTTGGCAGTAAAAGTAACAAATAAGACAAGCTGTAATCATTGTTTTCTCGCTGTTCCCTGACAGAACGGTGGAAAATGGTTCATTATTCTGCAACCAGGTATTGGACGCTTCAGTCAAACACTGCCATAGTTCACAAAGAAGACAGCTAAATCAGAGTTCAGCAATGGACAAAATGTCTTCAAGAAAAACATAAAACTGTTTAGTTTTTGTTTATGATGCCAGCTGTAATAACCTGACAAAACTGTTTAACCTTACATCATAGCTAGAGGTGTAGCGGGACACAAACATCACAGTTCAGTATTTCAATCAATAAAGTTAATGTTTTTTTGTTGTTTTTAAACAGAAAATAGAAAATATTTTTCATTTTTATTTATTGTGTTTGAAAGTCTAAAAAACATGAAATGTAGAAATGATGGGAGGTTTGGTTGTATTTCTTAAACAAATAAAGCAGCACAAACAGGCAGAGCTCGTAGTTTCCACAGTCAGTGACGATCTGCTGGTCCTGGTCCACTGGGTTTTCTAAAGTCACAGTCAGCAACTAGTCATTTCAAAGTGCTTTACATCATAAAAACATAACAACATAACCAATTATAAAACAAACATAAAATTTTGTCAAAAGTCATCATAAAAATGATCAAGGATCATCAAAGCATTTTTACATTTTTCAGTTATTTTGGAACAAAAGCAGCTCTAAACAGGTGGGCTTCATGCCTTGGTTTAAAGGAACTCAGTGTCTCAGCGGTTTTCTGGAAGTTTGTTCCAGATTAGAGGAATGTCTCTTCTCGATGTTTGGTTCTGGTTCTGGTTCTGGTGATGCAGAGGAGACCAGAACCAGAAGACCTGAGAGGTCTAAAAGGTTGGTTCAGCAACAGGTCTTTCATATATTTTGGTACTAAGCTCTTCAGAGTTTTCACACCTGATGGTTGGGTGGATTAGGGACCAAAGTTGCAACATTTGTTACATTTTCAGCTGGTGCGTTTTTCTTTCATACTGCACTGTGTCAAACCAACCAAAAGCTTTGAAAAACCCATTCATCCCCCTTGGGTCAGCAATAAAATTTCTATAAGACAAAATCAAATATTTGGGTTTATTTAGGCTATCAAACCAGAACCTCGAGGTTCTCCGTTGCCGAGTGTCGCTGCAAATCAGCGGAGAAATGACAGCAGCTTCAGACCATAATATGGAGAATCTCCCCCCACTGGACTAGAACCGAACCGAATCACACACCGAATCACACATTAACCTGTTACAGAGAGCAACTTGCCACTGGAAAGTGCCGTAAGATGCCCTGGCGGAGCTCGGATAACTGTTGTGCTGTTCATAGCTGTACTCAAATGATCAGACCAAATTTAATTTGTGGCAGCAACAGGTGTGTTTCAACGTACTCCCAAAAAAAAGCCAGAGCTTCTGTGATAAGCGGCAGTTGTCATCGCCTACCGACAGATAAGGAAACAAAAAGAATTTGACTAAAAATGCTAAACTTGAAGAGAGAACCCAAAATGCTTTATGGTTGCTCATTTCATTGTGTGGACAAAAAGCCAACGAAAAAAAAACCTGCATCTCCAAAGCAAATGAGTTAATGAAGTAGCTACATATGCTAGTGCAGGTTATTTGCAGCTGCTTATTCAAGTCACCATCCCACCCCACAATAACTGTATGTAGCAGTAAAACAATATTGCAGCATTTAAGATGTGATAGCTGCTATTCCCACATATTTTATAGCCTAAGTCCTCTGACGAAAGATGGTTAGCGAGTTGCTAACATGTAAACAAATGACGGTTCCGGTTTGCGGCGGAAGTCACTCCCATAAATCGCACAAAGCCTCGTGGGGGCTAGGAATAAGACAGAGCTGGATCTGTTGAATTAACATCAAAAACATGAATCCAAGAATTCAAAATGGCTTAAATTTAGTAATAGCATTTTGTCTGGGGATCGTGGTTTGGGAAACACTTTGCCATTGCTTTCATGGTAATGATGAAGATCAAAATCGTGGTGGGCTTGAACATCACAAACGACCTGAATCTGGTGATGCAGGCTAACGACCATTGGATCCTTGTAGGTTGTAAACTTTTTGCAGCATAGCAGTAAATGTCAAACATTTGGTTTCTGTAATTGCTGATCAAGTGAAGCAGTTTTAGCTAGTCGTTCATTTTCTGTGTTAAATGAGCTGATACTAATATCAGCTCATTTATTACCAGACTGTAAATCAGGACCTCATTGCAGCTCATCTGGTGCCACCTCAGATCAGCGCTAAGGACTTCTATATGACCGGTAATCTCAATGAATTAGTAAAAACGAAACGGCAGAAAACAATGTTTTATTGGGTTTGGACTGCAGGAACGTCTTTACCCGAACACTTTCACTGCAGAAGCAAATCGGTGTTATTCATGGAGGAAGACGTCTGATTGATATAAGGTTCTCTCTCAACATGCATCATCATAGTGACATGTGGCTCGGAAAGCTGCTGCTGCTGTTCAGTATTAATGGCACCTTCACAGCTGTGCAACCTAACTGTGCCTTCATTCATTCCCATACCAAACCACATAGTGCTAACTTTGAAACACACCAGAGGGTTTAAAGGTTTGTTTGCAGAAAATATTTTTATTCACTGGATCAACGGACAGATTTTACTTTCACCTCAGTGAGTCTGAAACTGATTCATGCTCAGAAAATGTTTTGTTAGTTTATTTTTTGGCATTGCTTTTTGCTAAATTTCAAGAAATGCTGTGTTTCCACCAGAGTCGTTTCTGTTTTTACAACAGAGCAGCCTGACAGCCCACAGATCACAACCATGCTAATTATTTTCCCCAGCGTTGATACTTGGGTGCTAATTCTCTGAATCTTTCTAGTATTTAATTTGCTCTTCAATGTGTGTAAACTTGTAATTTACTAAAGAGATCCTGATTCTCTGTTGAACACAAAGCTGGATTTTTCCAAATTGCTCATTTCTGCATGAATAAATATTAAGGTTTTGATCAAATAATCAAACACTGCAACATATTGCAGTGTGCTACTGATTGATCCTTCCTGTTTTTGTTGTTTTAGTGGTTTTAGTATCAAAGATCAATTATATTTACTTATATTAAAGTTATTTTATGATAACTTAGGGGTTTAACTATTAAAATGGGCTTATAATTGCCCATTTTAATAGTTAAAATAGCAAATTTACCTTAATAGAGGTTGTGGAGATCATAGGCTACATTCACACAGCAGGTCTTGTGCAGAAGAAGAACGTTGACGTCAAACAGCAGCTCTCTGTTTACGGAAGTAATAATGGACATCGCCATCTATGGATCGATTTTAAAGTTAATTCGGCAATGGGAGCTGACAGTATCATCACAAGATCATAGCGAGACGATAGGAGCTAATCAAAAGTAAACACAGCAATAAATGCAGCTTCTGTAGAGACGTCTGTTTGGATGTGATTCACTTCACTGACACAAACGTCTTTCAGAAATTTCATAATTATGATTTTCAGCCATTATTTACGTCGGGATTATCCACGTC